AAAGGGACGCCCTTCATATTACATACGTATATGTATGTATGCCCCATATGCCTTATGGACTGGCACTTCTTCACGTGAATGAACATGTTTGGAGTTATCCACCTTTATTTTTAAAACCCACTTTTTAACTTTCACTCATAAATTCCCATTTTTAATGTCCCCCGGGAAGTTACATTTTTGAGTTATCATTTTTTAATTTATACGTTTTGCATTTACCCCTTGCGTCTTCGCCGTGCGAGAGAGGCATCTTCAAAACCAGTGGATGAGAACCGTATAGGTTGTCCTTTCGGCGCAGCTGTTTGTCGACTCGGGCGAAAAATCACCTCCCCCCATTCAGGGAGATTCTGCAGTGACGCAATCTCCTATCTGCTAGCCTATAGTTCACATTTAGATTGGATACCACGTGCATCATCGTAGTGTGATCCGTCATTTTTATCTTTTCTCGCCGAGGAATTGCTAACGTGGCCCGCTTTATTGTATATTAATGGTGTATTAACCCCGGATTTGCAAAATGCATGACACTTCCGCTGGGGTGCATACACGGCACATGCATATGCCACTCTCGCGTATGCAGTAACATATATATGAGTGTACGTGCATCTATGTAGCTGTATTGGTCACTTTGGCACTAGTCTAAGCGCTGCTTCTCCCTTCGTGTGGCAGAGCTTCAGTTTGAAAGTATTCATACTAACAGCGAATGTATTGCACGACTAGGAAGAGTCAACCATTTGGAAGTTTACGTGCGGCTCTGCAAAGAAGGAGTTTTAACTCCACATATATACACACGTGTAGAAGTGGGTGTATATATTTGCAACCACGGGTAGGAGCACCAATAGATAGGCCCCTTTGAACTTGCGTACTTGAACTCTCCTGCAGGAGCTTTCATACCGAGGATTCTCGACCCCAACTCGCCTCTATTTCTTCCCCCTTTTTTGAAAACCTTTGAAATGGATTCAGCGGAAGATGTAAATACTATCACAAAGTATATCATTGTGACTGGGGGAAATATGAGCGGGCTGGGAAAAGGAACAGCCATGAGCAGCATGGGCGTATTATTGTTAACGAAAAATATTCTACTGACGACGATAAAAATAGATCCCTACTTAAATATCGACGCGGGAACGATGTCTCCATATGAACATGGGGAAGTATACGTACTGGAAGATGGCGGAGAAGTAGACTTAGATTTAGGAAACTACGAGCGCTTTCTAAACATAAAATTGTCATATAAAAATAATATAACCTCGGGGAAGGTGTACGAAGAAGTTATAAAGAAAGAAAGGAAAGGAGAATATTTGGGGAAGACGGTTCAGGTTGTGCCACACGTAACGGATGCTATTCAGAAATGGATCAAAGGAGTTATAGATGACAATATAAAGAGAATGAAAAAAGAATACAACATTAGAGCTTCATCAACACCGAATACGGTCCCATGCATTTGTATGATAGAAGTAGGTGGGACCGTTGGAGATATTGAATCGGCTGTGTACTTGGAAGCACTGCAACAGTTAATAAATAATTTAAATTCAGATGATGTTTGTCTATGTCATTTATCCTACGTACCAATTATAGGGATTCTGAGAGAACAGAAAACCAAACCAACACAACATAGTGTCAAAATATTGAGGGAAGCTGGACTGAAACCAGACTTCATATTTTGTAGATGTGAAGAACCCCTAACGGAGGAAGCCATACAAAAAATTTCTCTCTTCTCGCAAGTGAAAAATGAGCATGTCATATCTTTACATGACACATCCAATGTGTATAAAGTCCCCCTAATATTGGAACAACAGAATTTCTCTGTCAATGTTCTAAAAAAACTCAACTTGCAACATACTGTGATGAAAAACAAATTGCAGATAAGTCCGTACTCCTTCAGTACCTGGAAACAGCTATCAGATAGATACGAATCTTCAAACGAATGTGTCGTCATTGGCATTGTGGGAAAATACACAGCTTCGAATGACACTTATTTGTCCATCATTTCTTCCCTCGTCCATGCGTGCATAGAATGTGGATTCAAGTTAATCATCAAATATATCAACAGTAGCCATTTGTCTTTGAAAAAAAAGAGCAGAAAAAAAAATATCGATCTAAAGAGGAAAGCCAGAAAATATTCCTACGACACTTTTTTGCAAGTTAATACCACACAGAAACATCTCTTCGTTGATGATACAACTTCGGATGAAGATTACGATAAGAAAAGAAGAATGAAGTACGAGCGCGCATGGGACATTCTCCGATCCGTGGATGGTATCCTAGTCCCCGGCGGATTCGGAACCAGAGGTATTGAAGGAAAGTATCTCTCCTCCAAGTTTTGCAGACTGCATAATGTGCCTTACTTGGGAATTTGCCTTGGCATGCAGACAGCCGTCATCGACGTCGCTAGGCAATACCTAAATAAATATGCCAACTCGGAAGAGTTCGAAGACGTACTTGAAATTCACAACAAATCGGATGATAAAATGATTAACAAGAAGAAACGGGAGTTTACCAAATCCGCAACTGATTATTGTGGGGTAGCGAGCAAGTTCACCAAGGGGGCTAAAAGTGATATGTTCAGTGGTTCCAGGGAATTTCGCAAGGGAAGATCCCACACGGATGATGTCTGCTTCGAAATGAAAAAGGAGTCCCCACATATTCGCTCTGATCTGCACAGTGCTAGAAACGTCGCGCAGAGTAGCATTCCCTACAACGACGACAACGATAGTGACTCTCTCGCATCGAAGAAGCACGCAATCTCGGCGTGCTCCACGAATGAAGAAATTCCGAACAGCATTGGGTTGGAGCCCAGCGAAGGGGGCGAAAATGATCAGAGTGGACCCAATGGTCCAAGTGGCCAAATCGGTAACGGGGAAAAAGAACACTGCGTGAAGGGCCACACCGATATGGTGAACTACGACATGTCGTCGCCGCGTGACCAGGGGGCAGAGCCCTCCGACGTCGCGGACCTCTTAGCTACCCAAAAGTACATCGAGGATATCCCGAAGAAAATAGCCGACCCAGCATTACAGGAGAAAATAAAATTAATAGGAATACAGGACTACTACAAAAGTATAGAAGAGATAGATAACAACAATGTTATCATCTCCATGAACGAGTTCAAAGGGGATGATAGTAAGGGAGGCACCATGCGATTAGGGGTGAAGCAGTCCCAAGTGATTGACAAAGATTCCCTCACGTACAAAGCGTATGATGAAGCGACGTACATATTCGAAAGACATAGACATAGGTTCGAAATAAATCCAAAATATGTTCCACTGTTAGAATCCGTTGGACTAAGTTTTGTGGCAAAAGATGTTGGCAGTGTCAGAATGGAGATCTGTGAAATGAAGAAGTTAAATTTTTACGTCGGCGTGCAATTCCATCCCGAATTTACATCTCGTCCGTTTAAGGCAAACCCGATATTCCTGGCCTTCATTTTAGCATCCAAGGGGAAACTAAAGGAGCGTCTGGACAAGTACGGAAATAAGTTATGTTCGGGGAGTCTATACCGGTAGGTTGGCGCATATGCAGGTCGCACACACATACATATAAATAAATATACATGTTTATACATATATGTGTGTGTGCATCCCCCTTGTTGGTGATTATCATGCCAAATGGGAAAATAGTGCCACCCCCCCTGATCATGACGACCAAGCTGAACCTGCCAAGTGACAAAGAGATCATCACGTAATAAAGATGCTTACATTTCCTGTGTTCCCTTTCCCAACCTTCCCCTGTACTTTTGTGCACGATGCTGTATATAGATATACATACGTGTGGGCATTATAATGGAACCCGTGGTGCACATTTTGAAGACAGAAAATGTTAATAACGCGTATTATGACAAAGTGGCACGACAACCCACGTATGCGAATTTTGGAAAAAACGGAGGACAGTTCGAAGGTGGTACTTTCTACGGGGGAACGAGTTATCGTAGGATGGGGAAGTGCATGTTTCTTTTCCTCATTTCGCCGCGTCACCATTTATAGGAGGGATTCCCCACAATTTGTTTGAACGAGCGTGGGTCTTTTGCGCTTAGCGACTTCGCACACGCTGCTTTGCTTTTCTTTGCTATGTTTTTTTCTTTGCTTTATTCTATTATGTTACGCTTTTTCTTTTCTTTTTTTTTGCACCCTCCCCCGCCATCTCAATTCTTTCAATTATGTATCCCCCCTCCACACTTCTTCCTTTTTACCATTTGGCATCCACTTGCATGTGTAAATAACGCGACACTGCACGTGGTCGAAGTTTTCTGTTTTTGAAAATGTAAATTAAGAATAAACCAACGAACACTTTTTCTGTTTGAGCCATTTGAAGAAATTTTACATTCGCCCGTCAGTAGCCTGTATGTCAGGTTCGTTTGCCAACATTGGGAACGCCACTCAGTGTGCGCAGCGCTTGGAAGGGGGATGGGAGGGGGGCAGATCACCCCTTAAACGCTCAAGAGATTTTCCTTTTTTTTTTCAGTTAACTACAAATGTGTAAATTTGGAGGAGAAAAAATGTCTCTCCCCATGGCACGGACTTCCCAACAACATCGACTATGTAAATACCATCCACGGGAAAAAATAAAAAAAATCATAATGACTGCTTTGGAAAGTTCTTGGTCAACTTTAGCTAGTCATATGCTAGCACAGCATACTTAAGCGTCACTTAACGGTTAAAAAAAAAGACAATACATATGTGAACTCTAATCAAGTGCGAGGCAAGGGCCCATTCGCATGCTCATCATCATGCAAACATTTCATTTTTGTAGCTGTGTCAAAGGGGATAGGAAAAGGAAAAAAAATAATAATAAAATACAAAAAAAAAAACTGTCATTAACGTTGTCATTACGATTAACTGGACATTTCAACAAGGCGCCGGTTCAGTTGGGCGGAAAAATAAAAACAGGGGGACAAATTCTGTCGCGAAAATCGCAACAGCGAAATAAACCATGTCGCGCGCGATTCGGCAGGAAAGTAAAATTAATCGTCCACGGAGTTGTGTACAAAAGAACAAAGAGTAGAGAAATTAATAGTACTGGAAATTCAATTTGTAACAAAATAAAATGTTACTCAGCAAGATTGCGAAGACGGTTAACTCGAAATTGTTCTTTTTGCCTTTTATGTACATGACATCTAAGCCCGCGATGAAAAAGTTCCGCTCCTCGTCCATATCCACGTAGTTGTCGGCCAAGATTTTTCGAAAGTTGTAATTTATGTTGTTCACAAGGCGTTTCTTGTCTCCGATGCAGGCGTCCTTGCTGAAATTCTGCAAAAGGTGAGGAAAAAAATATATATATGATATATATCATATATATTATATATGTTATATATATATCTATATAACGAAGAGGAGGGAAGGGTAAAAGGAATAAACTTCCCCTGGTCGCACGGGGAGGGGAAGAACAACGGAAGGTCGCGCACTTCAGCACCACGCTAAACGCCGCTCCTTTTATTGTTCTCTTGTGCGCTCATCGGAGCAAAAATGTGGTTCGCGCCAAGTGAAAATCAGCGCGGAATGTGTACTTCTGTTACAATGCGTTTTCTTTTCAAGGATTTGCCCGTTTGGGAAAATTATGCGGAGCAAGCAAGAAGATCACATGCAATCCTCGTGCGGGGAGGGAACGATGACCCCTCCGCCTTTGTAGACCCCCTCGTTATATGTTCCCCCTTTTTTTCTCTCTCTCTCTCACCGGGATAAGGGCTCTTCCTATGCGTTCCGTATACAGCGGAATAGTGAAGTAGGGGATGAGGAGGTATGAATTTGTGTAAATACACTTGTGCGCAAAGTAGACAAAAATAAGATTGCTGTACTGGTTGGCCAGCAGAATACACGACTTGTCATATATTATTTTCAATAAATTAATGCGAGACGACTTGTATGCGGCGGGCAATTTCGGTTCGACTGGTTTGCTTAATTCCATTATGCGCACAAATCTCGTGGTGAAAAAATTCTTGGTAATCTTTGTGAATTTAATTTTTGACAAATATAGTTTATAATTATCTGCAGATATTACTATGTAATTACTGAGCTGTTTTTTTTCTTCCCTATCAACCACTGAATCAAACGTTGCTTCGGGTTTTTTCACACAAGCACAGGTTTTTTTTTGTTTTTTTTTCTTTTTTTCCTTTCTTACGCTCTTTTCACCATAGGTGAAATGTATGCCCTTTTTCATCCACCCCTTACTCAAGTGAGAGTACAGAAATCTTAACATGGATATGTTCAGCATAAGCCTGTTTCTTTTTTCTTTTGGCAACATGAGGAAATAGAACTTGAAACAAGTTGTTGTAGCCGGAAGGTCCCCATTCAACGAGTACACACAACGATGATCTGATTGTACTTGCGGCAAATCACTATCAAGATTCTCATAATGGTGAAACAAATGAGTGTCCCAAATGATATTTCTTATCCACAAAATGTATTTGCATATACGGGTTGGTGTTAAAGGATATTTTTTTTTTCTCTTAAATAGGTTTTTTGTCAAGTACACAAGGAAGGAACACCTGTCCTTGGCAAAAAATGATCTCAAAATCCTTTTTATCGCTGCATTCGCTTTTTTATCATGTCCCTCATTTTCCGATTTGTGTAATAATTTACAATTTTTTAAAGCTATATGGTAAAATATTTTCACCACCTTGAGGTTAATGTAAAATGTACTCTTAACATATTTTTCTTCGAAAATTATTTTCCTCATTTGGTAATTTCTCAGCTCATGTAAATTCACTCGTATGATAAAAATGATTGTTTTTGCCTTCCTCCAATGTACTTGTTTTTCGAGTTCGTTTTTGTTCCTCTTTTTTGGCTTCTTCTCACTGCAAATGTGTATGTCCGTCTGGAATATGACGCTTCCGCGTTTTTTTGGGTCAACTTCCATTGGACTCCTTCCCCCGCTGCAGTTTGCCTCCTCCGGGTCCTCACCCGTCACGTACTTTACGTTCACCACGAGTAACCCCCTCCCACAGTATCTGTACATATTCTGCAAAACATTTATATTTTCAAAATATTTAATCTTATAGTTGTCATTTCTTGAGTGCAGGAAGCATATGTTGTACGCTCTGTCTTCCCTCCTGAGGACCTCCTCCAGGTCCTTCTTCCTCGGCGCGGAACCATTTCTATCATCGCCTCGTGCATTTCTCTTCATTTTAAGTTGGCTCATTTTCCGTCTTTTCCCTTTTCCAGAATTTGCATCGGAGTTGAGCGAATCAGAGGAGCAGAAATCGGTGCTGTCATTTTCTAAATGGTCGAAAAAATTTTCAAGGAGGCTTTTCTTTGAGTCTTTCTTCGGGTGTTTCTTCGGGTTTTCCTTTGGGTGTTCCTTCGGGTCCTTCTTCGGGTCCTTCTTCGGGTCCTTCTTGGGGTCTTTCTTGGGGTCTTTCTTCGGGTGTTTCTTCGGGTTTTCCTTTGGGTGTTCCTTCGGGTCTTTCTTCGGGTCTTTTTTTGAGTTCTTCTTCGGGTCCTCCTTCGAGTGTTTCTTCGAGTCACGCTTCGCGTCATACTTCGTCTGTTCGTTGCGTTTCTCCGTATGATCCGCCATTCCCACCTCTCCTGTGTGCTCCTTGTGGAAGGCACCCACTCCACTCACAGTGGCACCCTCCCGATGCCCGTTGTACATATTATTTTCACGAAAGTACTTATGATGGTTGATAATCCTGTTGCTATGCGAAAGGTTCACTATGTTATTTATCACATTGTGGAAATTCGAAACGTTGTTTTTCAGTATAATTGTATATCCGACACTTTTGGGGTGCATTTCGGGGGAAGCCTCCTCGGGCTCATCCTGCTTCTTCCCGGTGCCCCTGCGTAGCGTTCCCTCGGTCCTGATTAGCGCTAAGTACGACTGGAAATGTTGATTCATTTCGTCACTGGTTCTCCTTGCTCCGCCCATGGATCCGAAGTACACGGCGTAGTTCTGCAAAAGTTCCCTAAGAATTTTCGACTCTTGATAATTTGCCGTGATGTGGAAGTTGAAATATAGCTTAGGCTTGGACGCCTCGAATTTGGAGATGCAGTCAGATAGCACCTTAAATTTGACGTGTTGATACATACTTTTGCAGAATTTCAAATCTGCATACTGATGAATTAGCTTTTCAAAAAGTGGGATCCACTTCTTTGGATTATCTTCACAGCTTTTTCTTTTCTCCGATAAAAAGTGGAAGCTAAAATCGTTCCTTATGCCACGTATGTATTTATAGAACAAGGATTTTTCAAGTTTTTTCCTTTTTTGGTAATCTGCATCGAGCTCGTCCTCATCCTTATGGTCATCACCATCATCATCTCTGTCGTCGTCGCTTTCCTCCTCCACATCGTAATCACGTGCGTTTCCGCACTCCCAGTTGTTTTTGTCCGATTCTTGGCAGGACGAGGATGAATGTTCGTCCGTTTCCCAGCTGCCATCCGATTGGTTGTTCGATTGAGGTGCAAAGAGCGAAGATTTTACTCTCTGTTTTATATTATTTCTTCTGTTCGGACTGAGAGTGTAAGATTTTTTCTTTGTCTTCTGTCGCCCTGTACGGGATAGCTTAATATAGAAATCCTCCTTCCACCCTGGCGTCCCACTTTCGTCATTCCACGTGGAGCTGAGCATGCAGGTATAATATCCGTATTCATGGTCTGTCAAAACACACACATCCCGTGTTAAATGCTGCCTTGTCAATTTGACACTTTCCAGGTCGCGTGTTCTCTCCTCATACTCCAAAGGATAAACAACGAGGTACGATTTTAGCAAATTCTTACAAACATATTTCATGGTGGAATATATTTGCTTAATCTTTTTCCTGGAGAAAGACGTTCTTTTAAAATTCTTGTTGGTCATCATTTGGAAAATGGTTTGGACGTTATTCGGTTGGACATATTCCGTTCTTTTCATATTCCTTTTGTACAGGTAAGAGCGGAGGGGGTGTAAATTGCCCCCTTCTTCTGTGTTCCCCTTCGCACTTAAAAAGGAACAACTAAATAATTGGAAAAAAGAATACTTCTGTAAAAGGGGGCAGAAATTATCCATAAGTAGGTTCCCAGATGGGAAATAAAGACAATAGTTAAAACTAGGTCTCTGTCCCACGAAAAAATCTTCTTTGTAAAATAGGTCCGTAAAAATATCACATTTGGAAATATTCTTCTTCAAAAGGAAGTCACAGCTCCAGCCCATATGTTTCATTTCCTGTTTGCAGAGAATGTTATTTTTTTTCCTGTTTGATAATAGTTCCTTTTCCCTGATCGCTTTGTACATTTTGCTTTCATGAAATACTTTTTCGAAGACACTTCTTTTCCCTCCATACTTTATTTCGACTGTTGCGTTGGCCAACAGGCTATGTGACATGCGGTTATAACTGTTCTTCGTTTTCGACTTTCTCCTGACGTTCTCGCACACCATGCTCATGTTTCGATGCCTCTCCCTGCTTTTCCTATCCTTCCTCGGAGGAAACACATGGTCATATATATTGTAGTTTCTATCCAAGTCATAATTCTTCACATTGAACGGATTCCAAAGAACCAGGGATCTGTCCACCGAGCAGGACAAAAGGAAGTTGTCGTCTGGTGAAAATTTCACGCAGGGGATATTATGTTTGTGGTGCTTTATAATAATTTCGTAAAATCTGGAGGACAATTCGAAAAATAATTTATACATAATGTCATACCAGTCCGCTGAATAGAATGTCACATTTGAAAAGGTCCAGAGAACTTCGTTCATTCGATTTGATTCTTCATAGGAAGAAGTCATTCTTACGTGATTGCAGAATTTTCTCGTAATCACATTGTTAGGCAAATTTTTGAAGATATAATTAGCATTTTTATCATTGTAAAGACTGTTTCTTACTTGTTCTGTTCTGTATTGTACAAGTGCGCTGACATTATGGTCATAATATTTCTTCTTCATTTGGCTGCCATCCCCTGTGTGGTTGTTTTTTTTTTTTTTTTTTTCCTCGCCTTTGCCTTCCTCGATAGTGGAATAATAATACCTTAAAAATGTGTTAAAGAAGCGATCCTTCTGAACTGCACGATTTTTGTCTGATTCGGTTTTTTGGCCTCTTCTCAGTACATTCAAATATTCGATTTGTTCTTTAATGGGTTTATCCTTCTGGATGTGCTTTTTTTTTTTTCTTTTCTGTGTCCCTTTGTTTGTTTCGTCAGGCGTGTCATCCTTTTCTCCCCTCTTCTTTTCATCCTCCATCGTTTTCTTTCCCCTCAAAACCATCTCCAACTTTTTCCTCTTCTCCTCATTAAGGTAGCAATTTTGTTGCAGCAGAACTTTATGTAACCACTTAGATGTAATGATAATTTTGTCTTTACATGATTTTTCCTTCCTGTGGGGCGGCGTGTGTTTTTCCCAATTCGTCATCCACAACGGTGCGTACTCCCCTTCATCCCATACTGGCCCTTTCTTCCTGCTCAGCTGCGCCGAACTATTTTGAAAATCGTTGATGTCGAGGGCAACAATTTTCGTGCGCTCATTGTGTCTGTTATGGTCCTGGTAGCTGTTTTGATAACCGCCCTGGTAACTGCTCTGCTTCGTTAGATTGCCAACCTTCCGCTTTAAATAATATTTGGAGAGTCCATCTTCCCTATTCCCCTTTATGCTGACGCTGCAATTGTTTATGTACAGCTTGGCGCCCTCATACTTCAAGAATCGATAAGCTGAGTTGAAATTGATTATGTTGCTTCCCTCAAAGCACAGGTCTGCATTTTCGCATTCGGAACATTCATCCACAAGGCATTCCGAGATGTTGCTAAAATCGCTGGTGGTGTGGCTGGACGAGGAATAATATGACTCGTACGATGAGTCTTCCAAATCTAATGTGGACGCGGAACTCAGATTTGGCTTCAAATCTGTTACGTCGTCATCGCTGCTGTCGGACACTTTTTTGGAATCTTCTTCTGCTTCCCTCCCCGGCGTGTCTCTCTGAGCGCAATCGATTGCCATACCATCGGGATGAACATCGCCCGTAACGCTATCTTTGCTCAAACTATCTTTCAGAATCGACCATTGTGAAGGCTTATTCGTGTGTGGACTACTACCGCTGCGATTTTCTCCTAGGGGCTCTTCAATTGCGGCATCCTCCGCGTTGTTGTGATGGTCTATTTGGCCATTCGCCACATCACCCCTAGATTCTTCGGTGATTCCCTCGGCTGATTCGTCCGCTTCTCCCGCTTCTTGATCCTCTTCCGTCATTTCATCCGTCTCTTCGTCCGCTTCTTCTTCCTCTAACACCTCATGCACTGGATCTGATCCCAATGCTACCACTGATTCCGCTGCTCCCACTGCGCCCCCCACTTTAATAGCCACTTTCTGCGAACCATCAATGGAGCACGCCTCCCTTCGCCCCTCTTCAGGTGTCCCGCGCGCAGGGATCCCGCGCTCCACTCTCTCGTTCTTCTCCCACACACCTTCACAGACAATAACAAAGTCGAAAAAAGAATCAGACTTGGGACCATGAGTCAACATTATTTCATCAGCACTTTTGGGAAGTGTATATACGTACCGAACAGTTGCATCATATTTCTGATCCATGGAAGCATATTTCATTCTGAGAGGAATTTCTCTAAAACGCTTACACTGCAGAGTTCCTTGCTTTCCCTTCACTTTTACACTTCCCGATTTTATGGTGTTGATTAGGTCCAAAGTCATGGGGGATATTTTCCCGGTAAAGGAATCTAATTGATTAAAAAAAGTGCTTTGCAAATTTCCCCTGGAATTATATTCTTGATTTAAATTGCGAATGTCATTCTGCAAATTATTCGTTACGTTTGAAGTCCAGTTACCCATGTTGGGGTCCACTGAGGAAGAGCTGTTCCTGTTCAGCTCTCTTACATTCAAAATGTTATTGTATAGCATATTGAGGAAATGGGGTTCATTTCCTTGTCGGACATCCCTCGAATTGGAGGAGTGTCTACCATCCGCGTTATTATATACAGCGGAAGTGCTATTATTTGCATTCGCATCTTCATTTGCGCTTGCACTTGCTGTAGATACGAAATATATATTATCAAGATTGCTTGCGTTTATTCTGAACCTCCAGCCATCCTGAGTCGCTTCAATTCTATCTGGGTTGGATGCCAACAGGTTTCTAATTATTACACTTGCGTACGAGTTAACTGGTGTTTCCCTTCCTTCTATTCTTGTTTCGCCTATGTCCACTCTTGGAGAATCCATACTTCCCCAGGATGTTTCGTTATCCAATTGTGAATCTTCCAAATCGGGTGCTGTTTCCCCATATTCGCTATCCTCATTTGGGGGTGCTAGGAAGGCGCCTGGATCGCCTATAGCTGGTTCGTCTAAATCGAGGAAGTGCTCATTGTAGCGCAAGTTAGAGGCCTCTTGTTGGGCTGTCCTAGAGGTGTAATAACCTCCCCTTCCTCTAATGGGGGAAGGTCTACGGCTTATATTCCCAATCCTGTTGTTAATGTTCAATATATTCTGCGTAGCATTCACCATGTTATTTAGAACTCTCTGCGTGCTTTCATTCATGAAGTCATGTCTCACGTTTGGTACATTCCTAGCGCTATGTCGATTTGATCGAGTGGGACGATTAGGTCGATTATTTCGTATGCTATTCCTCATGTTGTGCAAAAAATTATTCCTCACCATCCTATAATTGTGTAATGCGCGAACAAGGAGACCATTATTTGAAACATCTGAATTGTATCCATTCCCTAGGAGTCGACTGCGAGCTGTTGACAACAAATCTTCGTTTATGAACCGGTTAAAATTGTTTGTACTTTGGCTAGTTGTGTCGTTATTTATATATGCATGGAAATTTATTCCTCTACCTCTACTGTGCATGCTACCTTCCGATATGTTAGATGACTCGGATGAGTTCGAACCTGATTCGGCTTCCAAATTTAGTAGCAAATTATTCATGACACTTTTCACCTTCATCTCGTCCTTCTTATCCCACTTGGGGCGGTTGTTTCTATATAGATTATTCATTTCCATCTCAACGGTGTAATTTACAATTCCATCCATGTGGGCTTTACCTGCCATAATGCTTCTTAAGCATCTTTTTTTTTTTTTTTTTTTTTTTTTTTTTTTTTTCTTTTTTTTTTTTTTTTTTTTTTTTTTTTTTTTTTTTTTTTTTTTTTTGTTCTCTTCGCTTTCTTCGTTTCTGTCTTTTCTGCATTGCTGAAGGGGAGGCCGCTCCTTCCTCCACTACCGCTTCCGCTACTTCCATCGCTACTATCCCTGGGATGGCCTCTTCTTTGCATTCTCCGCTTCTTTCCATTCACTGCACCGCCTTCATCAAATCGAAGGGAGTAATAATTACTGCGATTTTCTCTTGCCGGTCCGGGTTTTCCCTCCTGCAAAAAATGCTGGCCGCTTTCGCTCGGGTCGTTCGTCAGGTGCACAATGTCCAGCGTGTTATTATTGTGGTCCTTCAGCTCACAAACTACTAGTATTTTTTTGCTGTAAAAATCAAAGTTCGCCTCTTCCTTCACTGTGGGTTGTTCGTTCGTCGGGTTTTCCTCTCCGTTGAAAGATTTGGCGCATTTGTCCGATTTGGCGGATTCGGCTGCTCTATTCGCTTTAACCGTTGCGCTCGCTTGTTCCACTGCTGCACCCATGCTAGTTCCCCCCTGGGCGTTTAGAAACAACCCCGGTGTCGAGTGTCTCTGGATGCTCTTCACGACTATTTTTAATTCATCCACATATTTCCCCTCAACGCGGTCATAACAGTGCAGTTCCCCTTTGTTTCTCCTTTTATCTAGAACCACGAAGATGGAATGCTCATTTGAAAACAGCCGCTTGGTATAGGAAAAGCTAAAATTGTGTCTCTCTTTGATGAACTTTCTGAATCTTCTGCTAATATGTTCTAAAACATTATTGGCCCTTTTGTAGCTGTACAGGTGCCTGTGGCATTTTATTATTTTATGCTCATGATGATCAACGTTTGTGTCGCGAAGTCTACCATTTACGCCTTGTTGGAAGGCGCTGGGTGAATTGCACAGCACATAGATCCTTTCTACCTTTGACATGTTGTAACGTTTGACCTTTCTGTAGATGACGTTGTGCACCCCGAGCTCATTCTCGCTGATTGTAGTTTCCGCTCCGGAAGCATCCTTAGCCGCTTCGATGTCTTCGCTCTGGATGTGCTGAGTGGGCGGTCCTTCAAGTGATCGCTCTTCAGCTTGGATCTCTCCATCTGACGGCTCCCCATCTGGGTGCCTTTCCCCCACTTCATCACCCTTGAGAATGTCCAAATAATTTTGTCGTTTCTCCCCGTGGGCACCCATAGCCCAGTTGGTTCTACGTTTATTCCTTTTCTTCGCTATTTTGCTGAATATTTCAGCTCCGCTCACGCCGAACAGGAGCACATTCCTGCGCAGAAATTTGATATACCAGTTTTTCAAATACTTATTGTTGTTGACTATCACCATTTTGGGATGAAAGAGCTTCAAATTAAGGTAGTACTTGGAGCCAAATCTTTTGGCATATAATTTCTTCATCTTATGAACCGTGGACGCAAGGTTGTAGTGAATGTTCCACTTCATGTGATAGATCTCCGCCCCGATGGAAGATTGCTTTAAAAACAAAATGATTGCATCACTTGGGAAATTGTACGATATGGTCAGAAGCATTTTTTTTAGATTCTCCTTTCTGTTGAGGAAAAACTGGACCAAGTCCATCGGAATGTAGCTCCTTCTGTACAAAATGGACGAAACTGCTTTGTGCAAATTGGCCCCCTTAAAATGATCTTGCACGCTAATCTTCGTGACGTAACTCTTGTTCTTCATTGGAAAGATGCCTCTCATGGAGTCCTTCGCTTGGGGGGTGGGTGCCATATTTAGATCAGCTTCGTTCTGTTCACCTGGGCTACTGTTATTCCTCCTCACTTTATCTGCGACACATGTACTGGTGTCTTCACCATACTGCAAATCCAGCACGGAATCGTCTTTCCATTGATCAAAGGGGGCACTGTCACTGGCATAGAAACGAATGGGTTTCTCTTCTCCGTTCGTTATGCTGCCTCCTTTTTTTCCTACTTCTTCCTCCCAAGCGAGGTCTGACCAGAGCATTCCACTGCTGGTGCGTCCCCTATGGACAATATATTCATTACGAAAAATTACTGAGTCGTTTATTTTTTCTTTTTCCTTCTTTTTCTGCTTCTTCTTCACTTTTGCTGAGGGGCAACCATTTGGCTGATAGTGCTCTTCCCCCTTTCTGTTTATCTGGTCACTGGTGCTGACCGAGGTGGACGATTTTTGGCTCTCCTCATAATGATCCAAATAAATGACATGATCGTAAATTTTCTCACTACTGTGGTGGTGAGGCGGGAAAAGAGCTTTTTTTTCTTTGTTTTCCCTTATCTTCGCTTTGTCTTCCGTTTTATCCCTTTCCTTGTTTCTTTTCCTTTTCTTTTCCCTTTCCTTTTTCCTTTTCCTACTTTTTCTGTTTGCCCCCAAATGGTCTTCCCCATCATTGTTATCGAAATAAAATGGGTCCTTGTCATCGTTGAGGAACAAGCGATTTACCTTAACCTTCCTGTGCACAAATGCATTCTTAAAAAAGTTAAGAGCATCATCATAATCGTACCTCCTCCTAAAATAGTAAAAGTTGTTCAAATTGTAAATGTTTATATTGTGCGTGTTCGACCCAATGGCTAGTAAATTTTTCGTAAAGTTAAACGAAATGGCCCACGTGGACGTGTCCGACTTAATATAAGTTTTGTTGTTAAAAACGATGTCTGGTTGCACGTATATATGTGAGGACTTCAAAATTTTGTCATTGTAATCTACATTAAAGAGATTAAAGCTGAAGATATTGAACTGCTTCCAAATTTTATTGTACTTGATATCGACACTTGGGTCCAGGAATTTCTCTAACTTATTGCTGTATTCTTCGTAATGCACATGTGTTATGTACAATTTGCAGAAGTTTACAAATTTCTTTCTTTCCTTCTTCAGTATATTTAATCGCTCTACACGCAAATTATAGTTTTTGATGTTCCTCCTTAATTGCTCTATCTGCGTTTTTTTCGCATCTCCATGATATTTTTTTTTTTTTTTTTTTTCTTTAAAACCTATTTTGGCTCTCTTTCCGTGACACCCATTTGGCGAGAACCTCCCTCGCGCATCCCCTTCACATCTTCCCCTGTTTCTGCAACTGCGCGTATCGGTGTTATCGTGATCTCTTACCCTTTTCTTATTTTTTGCCACCCGCTTGATTTTCCTTTGCGCCATCAGCTGGGCCATATGGAGGCCCCTTCTCAGTTTCATGCGCAAATCACCATGACGGTAAAACTTCTGGCCGCTTCCTTTCCTGCTACAATTGGTCCGTCTCAGTTTGGACGACAAGTGTGCTATGCACTCCTCATCACTGGATGATTTCATATACGTATTCACAAATTCACTCTCGTCTCTAATCGCGTTAATATATTCATTTTGGTCATTCAGTCCCATGTGGTCATTTCTTTGGTTGTAACCCAAGTACACATTGTTCCTCATTTTTTTATAAAAGTTGAGTTCTTCAATTTCTTCCGCATCATCGCCTAGTAAATAATTAACCTGATGATTTTTTTTAAAGTTTTTTCCCGATTTTTTTTTCCTCATCCGGGGGCTATCATTCCGGTGCAGCGATCCATCTTCCCTTCCGTCGTCCGTATCGTACGCGTCCTCCTCCGCGCTCTCAAGGCTGCTATAAATTTCGCTAATTTTAAATTTTTTCCTTCTCCCATTAATGTTACTGCGTGTCTTTGGATTAGGTTCACTATCGCTCTTCGGATCTCCCATGGGGTCGTCCCTTGGACACCTCAATATGCAGCTGCATTTCATTCTGTACGGCCCCTTCTTGAATTTGAGTGCGTTTTTTTTGTACACAGTTAGGGCGCTGCCAGTGCGCCCCTTACCTTCTCCTCCTACCCTTGCTCCTGATACCCTTCCGAGGGACTCCCTTCCCAAGAGACATCTTTTATAGAACCCCTTCTTGCGGACGTTCATTTTCTTCGTTTTTAAGAGGGGATTCTTTAGCTTAGCAGTTATGTACTTATTGATCGCCCGATCGTTAAGGCGCTTTTCTCTTCTGTTCACTTTTCTCTCATTTTGCAAACGCATTCTGTACAGACGGGCGCTTCTCCTCTGTTTGGCCTTATTTTTTATATGATCAAAATTGTTGATGCATTTGGACAATTCAAACATTTCTAGGAGTTGTTTGGAGTATCCATTTGCATACTGATTATTGTGTATTAAACTTAGAATAAAATCATTTTCATCAATTTTTAATTTATTTAAGAGGCGATAGGAGTCCGTGAAGGAGGCTGGAAAAACTGAGTCGCCACATGGAGAATGTGTATCGTCAAAATATATGGCCTCCTTCGTCTCATTTTCTTCATACCTCTTCAAATCGAACAACTTTTTCTCTAAAATATGTTTTAATTTCTTCTTTATGTTAATACATTCGACGATTTTCTCTACATAATAAACACTGGTATCTTCGGACCATCCCACAGATATTAGAATGCACTTGTCTGAGTTGTCTCTTTCTTCGCATTTGATATTTACGTACCCTTTAGAATACACGTGTGGGGACAGGATAAGAGTCGGTGCTGGGATGTTCATCGCTTTCAATTTCAAATCATTTTTCACTTCATCGTAGACGTACTTTATTTTATTTATGTTTTTAAAGCTGCTGTCATTCTGACTTATTTCCTGTTTGTAGAAATTGCCAATAACGTTGTCTCTGCCCTTTTCATTCCTATGCCCAATAACAACGTTAGGGTTAGGGCTCACGTCCACCCCAATGTTTATGTTTTTTTCCAGAAAGCTTTTCAATTCGTACACATAGATATACTGACCGTACGTTATAAACACCAGTTCGTATTTCTTACTCACACATAGCAAGTTCAGTGCGAAGAAAACGAATTTGTGCTGGATGCCTCCGGTCAAGTCGTGACAAAATAACAAATCGGCGTGGCAGTTCTTTAACGTTTTTACGTTTTTCCAAGGCGTGCAGCTTCGCCCCCCATATGTCTTTCCCATTTGTCGTGGGTTAGCGGCAGTGCGGCTACTCCGGCGTGGTGCCGTAGACTATGCTCCCCTCACTACACGTCGCTATATGTAACTATATTACCGCTATGCGTGGCGATCGTCTCTCCCCTTTTTTCTCTATTTTCTTTGTTTCCCCTGTTGTCCCTTTCGTTCTCTCAATCAAACATATTCGCGAATGGGAAGAGGGGGGTGCGGTTAACGCAGGAGGGAAATCTCGCAGAGTATCGCCAAATTTTAGCCCAATTTAACCCATTTTAGCCAAATTCCACCAAGTGGTCCGATCTCGCGCTGGAAAGTCGCCTGGACAGGCCGCCCTTTAGCGCGTTTGCAAATGTACGTGATTCACTTCTGAACAGCAACGTTCCAAATGGTGAGGAAGATTTTCAGAAAGGGTCAAGCCAGCGCAACGGAAACGGACAAAGGTATTCCCTTTCACATGGTTTTTCCTTTTTAATTTAAAAAAATATTACCAAAAAATGTATGCAGAAATTTTTGCTATTCAAAAATTTAAATACATAACAAGCTTTCCGCAAAAATTGAGGGGTAATCCCTTAAGGTGCAATCGTTAATTTGTTTGCTTTTTTTTCTTACTCGTCCAATAGTTCGTTACGCGTAGCTACTACGCGCTTTCGTCAGTTTCCTACCCTCTATAGTGGTTTCCTTTGGAAAGGCACAACAATACACCGGCGCAATAGGATATAATTTTCGTAGCATGCGAACTAACCATTTTTGCGTGGGCTCGCTTAAGTATGCTTATTTGCCATACATATGTAGAAAAAAAAAAAAGGAACAGTTTGAAATAACCAAAAAGGGGAACAATTGCGAAAAGGTTGGGAATAGTTATGAACAATTACTCATGAACAGGGACATAAGCGTAATTATGTAAAAATAAAAAAAATTCTGCACTCCATATATAATTCTCTTTTTTTTTTCTTTTCCAATGTGGAATATACGTTGTGTGGTAACAAATGTTGGCTTTCTTTATTTTTTTCTCATTGTGTGCTTCAGGAGATGGAGGATTGAAGGCCATGAAAAAGAAAAGTTATGTTTTTTCCAAAAAATAAAATAGTCAAATGACGAAATGGCGAAACGGCGAAATGGAAAAAGTGCATAGGAGAAAAGGAGCTTCGTACACAGTTGATGCTCCCTTACGCCCGTATTCATGCACATAGAATCCACTTCGTATGCAAACATATATCCCTATGCGCACACCCTATGTGTATTACGTATCTACGCACAAGTAAATATACGCCCGAATGCACTTAAAATGTGTACTGCGAAAATACAAGGCAGGAAGAAATTCTGGGCATGCTAGTCTGCTAGGGCATTGCGTAAGCGTCAAATTGTGTGGCACATCCTTAGCGGCACAAAACACTGTTTCTTCTTTTTTCCACTTTTGCCATCACGAAATAATTGATTCATGACAGAATCGAATGTTGTTCCTCTCTTTCGCACCCCTAAGTTTTTCCTTGGAGCAGGGCTAAAAAACGAACACCCATTTATTGCAACTCAGTTTGCAAAAAGAAAAAAAAAGAAAGAGCAAACGGAAAAAGTTAAGCTAACCTAAGAAGAGCGAAGCTAAACGAATAAGGGAATGCCTTCTTCCCATATAAAAGAGAGGGAGAAAGAGAAAGAAAGGAAGAAAGAGAGAAGGGGAAAAAGACAGAAAAAAAAAACACACCAAAATAAAAATAAATAAAACGTTGCTCTAAAATATAGATAGGGGTTATGAGAATAGCCCCTGTGGTGGGCTGTCCCTTTTTTGTTTTTCTTCGTTTGTTACGGTGTCATCCCACCCAGTTCGGCAAACAGAAAAAGTTCATTTCATATATGGCAAAGAGGCCTACATACACAGTGAACAAAAATGTAGGATATGTGTTGTAAGTATATCAGAAAGTGTAGCACAAGTGAACCTCCTCAAAAAAGAAAAAAAAAAGTTATCTCTAGAGCTGGTATATATGATACGGCATTAATAATGCATGTGCACACAATTTACCATTCACCTCAATTGTGAATTATTTTCTGCTAACCTAAAAAAGGAGCAGCGAGATAAACCAGCGCTACAGAGTGTTCCATTCCGTTGTTTCCATTTTTACATAAGAAGATGTGATTACACAGCGAAATGAAAAAATAGGATGATTTAACTCAGTAAAAGTTGCGAATGGACATGCTAATGTGTATGGCTGAGTTTATTCTTTTTTTTTTTTTTTTTTCACATTTACTGTGATTTATCCATACGTGGCTATGCACCATTCTTCCCAAATGTGTTAGTCACCCTTTTTTTTCCCTTAGTCTTTTAAAGAAAAAAGAAAAATCCAAAATAAAATCCCAATAGGGGGACATCGTTACCATGTGGACAAAGGTGAACAACTTCATAAACAGCGATCTGTTTATCAATAATGAAATGGCAACTAGAAGATGCGGATGGTACAAACAGACTGCTATGTGTTCCTGGTCCACCGAATTTTATTTCCTAACATAATAATAACCCCTTTTTGATAAAAGAAAGAAATTCATTTATACGAGGAAGGGGCAAATACACGTGTGTGTAAGGTGCATATAAATATATATTTCATTTTTAACTGCGTTTGTTGGTGAATGTTTCCCCCTCGAAGTTGAGCGCGCAACAAATGGTAGCGAGAATGTTGCTGAGGAGCACGCTTCAGTAAATGTTCGCACAAGTTTTCCGAAGCGCAGTTACGACGCGTCGGCAGTTAATTTGGTAAAGAGTATTTGTTATTCGGCGCCAACTTGCGGACGTAAAAATATGTGCATATATGGATACGTGAGCGTTTGGATGTTATTTGTTTTTTTTCTGTTTTTTTGTTTTTTTTCTGTTTTTTTGTTTTTTTTCTGTTTTTTTGTTTTTTT